ATTATATCGTTGGACAGCAGGCGTTGCCTAAACTCGATGATGTTTCTCTATAATACGCTTAATAATAATATAAATGCACCTGATATATTATCCTTAATACAATTTAACGTTCCATCACGTAGAATGCGATCATCAGCTATGTTTAATATTCCCTTTACTACAACCAGAGCTCCTCTCGTAGCCATGTTGAGACTAGCCAACCAGTTCAATGTGTGTATGGATTTGGACTGGACAGTGACTAAGAGAATTTTCCGTCGAATAATTCTAGATCACATAGTAAACATCTCTGTATAGGAATAGTTATTTTATTAAAGTTGATTTATTAGAATTAATTTATTAAAAGTCATTTATTAAAATTAATTTATTAGTGTTTTAAAATTTGGTCCCCTACAATTTTATAAAACTTACATATATTTCAATGTTTTTTGTCTATTTTTGGTATTTTCTCTCATCAGTGAGAGCTTAATAATGATACATTTGTATTTTAAATTTTATTTTTATCCATGTAATTAAACCTTTTTGGTTTGTATGGAAAAAAGATTAATAAATAAATAAATAAATAAATAAATCAGACGTTAAAGCAGGTACTGAGAGTGTAAAGCAGATCCTGTGACAGATCCTAAAGCAGATACAAATACATATATATGGTAATAGAAGATTTTTATCTGCCATCGTCAACTTATTATCATGTGATATCCATATAAAAGACAACAAAGACTTTTCAGATAATATCTATTTCAAAATCTGGAAATTAGATAACGAAATAATTTTTTTGAACGGAATGTGGCATGTTCAAAAATTTTAAATTTTTTTATGAATAATACAGTTCAAAATAAAGCTACATTTAAATGTTTTTTTCATCTATTCATTTTCCAGAGTTATTAATTTTTTAAAATTTATGACGTCATTGGGAATAGACCAATAGGAACTAGCCACACAACGTTGCCAGTTAGACGGTATACAAAAAGTAATATACGTTCGTTTTTAAAAATATTATTTATGTTTAAACTTTCACCATATTTATAGTTCCATTGTTTTAAAAAACGACAACTTATAAACAAGAAAATGGCAATGCGTCAGCACTGCATGTGTCATCTGTCAATCAAGAGTTTGTGTGTTGTGTCAATCGATAATTATTTAATTTTGATGTTTTTATAAATATTATGAGTCAAAAAAAAATGTTTCCTTCCAAGATGTGATAATGATTTACATTTTACATTTATTATTAAAAATAATTATTGGTGTGGCTAGAAATATGAGAAGAAGAAAATTATTATTATTACACAGTTAGAAACGCTTTAAGCAACAGCTAAATTATTCTGAGGTTTATATCTATACTCTTTATTAAAATGAAAATGTTTTATTGTAATTTACTAGACTACAATTATCTACCATGTTTTTTCTTTTTTTTAGATACTAGATGATTTTGAAAACTCTTAATTTTTTAAATAATGGATAAACCTTTACATATAAAAAGTGGGTAGTACCACACAAATGTCTTCACAGTTCTTGTTATTCACCACACAAGACTCAGCTTACTGATTCTACAAAAAAAAAAAGGAAAAACGGATAACATAAAAAAATGTCTTCTATTTTTCATTTCTATTTAATAAAAATACACCGGATCTTCAAGATGCAGCAGCAATTTCTGACATAGCTCCCTTTCCCCTTCGGGAAATGTACTATAAGTTTAAAGGTGTATATCCTAAAACCTCTTCTACAAGAACCTCCCTCGGAACCTCCTGAAAGTTTTACAGATAGTGAAGTTTTGCCTGAATCAGACGAAACTTAATATCTGATTCAGAGGGACTTAATAATGATGAGCAGGATCTTCAAAACCAATAAACTCTTAAAATAATTGAAAATAAACCGAAGGTATATTTAGGATTTAGTGTTTTTAAAATCCTCAATGATATTTATGAGAAGGAAAGTGTAGCTTACATAAACCTTTTACATTTCTGTGTGAATTAGAGGTATTGTCAACTTAAAAGAACTCATTTTGTAAGACCAAATACCTAATAATTTAATAAACTGTTTAATTGTTTTTTTTATTAATTTATCACATTTCAGAGATTATAATAATTGTTGAAAAAATGTAAATTTTTTTATTTATTGACCTGACTAAGATAAACGAAATAAAAAACACTGTATATACAAATAATAAAAAATATTACACAAGCCCTAACAATAATCTCATCAATTCAAGACTGTCACTTTTTACAGACCCAACTGGGCATCGTTGAAAATTGGTGTAATGAAAACAAGCTGTTTATGAATTTGTCTAAATGTAAAGTATGTTCCTATACTAGAAGTATTAACAAGGTGAAGTTTGAATATTTATTTAACGGCCTACCTTTATCGACTTGTGCACAAATTGAAGATTAAGGTATATTATTCAACCAAAAAGTTACTTTTTCGGATTGTATTGAAAATACCGTTGCTTCTGCGTTGAAAAGCTTAGGGTTAATTCGTAATACTCGTTCTTTTACAAACTCTTGAGCTTGGAGATCCTTTACTTTTCTTTAGTTCGTTCCAAGCTAGAATATGCATTTTTTATCTGGAACCTTATTTACAATATTCATAAAAGATCATTGGAAAATGTTCAGCGGCGATTTCTCAAGTACCTTTCTTTTAAAATAGATTAGCTGTATCCCATTCGAGGTACTGAACAATCTCTGCTTCTTTCGAAAATAGAAGGGTAGTTTCCAGTGTTACATTTTTTTATAAAATACTACATAATACTATTGATGTACTATTTTTGATAAATCAAATAAATTTTAATATTCCCCAAACAGCCATTAGATATCATAAAACATTTTATACCTACAGCAAGTATTTGAACGAACTTGGGAAGAAATTCGCCTATAACGCTAATGTGTTCAAATTTTAATTAATTTTGTTCTGATTGGAATATTTATTTCGACCATTAATTGTACTAATTTGTAGCTAATGTATTTAGGATTCTTTCTTTTTTTTTCTTGCTGTTAGTTGCTAAAATTATTTTCTGTCGAAATATTATGTTTAACATTTATTTCATGTATTTTGTTCTGAAAATGGATTAATTTGTTGGGCATTAAAATTATTTTTATTTTATTAAGCAAAAAAATGTTTATTTTGATGCACCCCACCTTTAAAAGTTTGTCAGTATATTAACGAGAAATCCTATATAGTTCCCAAAGAAAAATATTTTTGGAATAAATTCCGAATTCTATTTATTGATATTTGTTATTTTTTAGGTTCAATGACTCGAAACATGATGATCAGCTACACTAAGAATATCCTTGATACTTAAAAAAAAATGGTATGAGATTAAACAGATTTGATGCTATGTCACATTGTGGTGCGAAGACGTGGCTAGTATAAATTTGGGGTATCAGTTGATAAAAAACATTACGTTAAAATAAATTTAAATCTGCATATGCATCAGAGATAGCCATATTCCATACCACAATACGTCATGCGTGAACTCGATGAGATTTCATCGGCTAAGTATCATTCCTCTGTAATGTTTTGTATCATTAGGAACATCAACATTGTAAACAATTATGACCAGAGTTTTCTTACCCTTTCCCTAGGTCAGAGAGAATAAATGAAAACTAAATAATGTATAGTAACAAATATTGAAAATATATATATATATATACTTTTAAGAGTTTTATTATGTCAGCCATAGTTTTATACCAAAAATGAAAATAAACTGAAATTAATAAATTTACTATATTTATAACATTCATCGACTCTCTCCTGGCTAAAATATTACTTATCTATCTATTCAGCTCTGTTCCGTCTATTTTTTGCCTTTAGCCTCCTTCTGACACTTCCATTCGTTCTTATTCAGTGTAGTATGCATGGTTTTCAGAATATCAAGTGTTATACCTATCTGATGCTTGGATCTGCAAAGTTCATCTTCAGTATACCTGCTTATGTGACATCTATCTCGATGTCAAGTTTGATTGAACATCCGTTTCTTGCGTATTACTCTTATACTTAACCATAACTAGCTTAGACTCGAACAAATATGTCTAATTCGGCCAAAACACAGCCTTGGTACACAAATATCCAGTTTACCGCTGGTTTCATTACAAAAAACTGGAGTAAAGGGTAAAATTATCTCTTGTCCAGTACACTCGTATACACTTAGCCTATATTATTTTTGATTAAAGACGTATACATTTAAAAATGTCGTTTACTTAAAAATACACATTTAATTTTGATATTTTATTTAACTCAATCAAAACATTAAATTATTATTTTCCATTTATATATGGCTTATACCGGACCTGTATGTACTCTAGTAGTGTTGCCGTCAGTTGCCGCCACATATTCATTAGTGACATACGTTTTATAAATTCATCGTGTTACATATTTGTTGACATAAATAGATAGAAATTTAAAGTGACGTCTTGTATTACTTCGAATGAAAAAATCGATAATGCAATTTTCTAACCTAAAAAAAATCGTGACTATATGTCAAACAAAGTTGAACTTGGCCTTAATACACAAATATCTTTGTATAGTCAATAATTATTTTCCAAAGATTTTGCGAAGGTTTTTAATTTTTTAGCACTTCATTTTTTATACACTTAGTTTTTGCTGTATTACTAATTTTTCAGGATATCAAAGTTCAAATCACCAATTAAAAAGATATAATCAAAATTAACGTTAAAATTTTTGAATATCTTGCCAATAATGCAATGTTTTTATTATTTATCTGAAAATGTACATTAAGCATTTACGTGACCTATTTGGACTATTTGGAGTAATTTATGGCCTAACGACAATAAATTATGTTTTTATGTAAATAATTACATTGCCATTCTGTCTGTTAATAACCTCTAAAAATTGAAATAAGATCATTTACATTAAAAAGAATCACGTAAAAATCGCAAGAACCGCCTTCACTATTACTTCATCTTTCGGTTTGATAGACGACCGCGTCGTCACGAAGGATATTACTCACGTCACTTGAGGACTAACTAAACTTCGCCCCACCTGTTCCACACCACACCAGTCCCTTATATTTTTCCCACGTGTTCGGAAAACAATAACAAATATAATCAGTACAACACACACGACCACCTAGTTAACAGTGTGAACTTAAAAAATGTGCGACATTAGTGCTAATAGAAAACCCTTCGTAGTTGTAATATTTTTGAATTTTTGTACAACATTGCTAGCCGTAGCTCAAGTTAATTTACCCCCTGCTTTCATACCCAACCCTAGTAGTACTATCAGACCGTTTAGAGATGATCGTAGATTTGATCACGTAGGTTTTTCATCATCTACCCCTTACCCGTTCAGTAGCACCTCTCCGGTTACCCCTTTCAGAGACTTTCCTTATAACCCCAACGATCCTAGAAACGATTACGATCAAAATTTCGGACAGAGACCTAGCGATTTACCACCAAATTTCGTACCAAAAAATAACGATGTTAACCCCCAAGATTTCAATAGGCCGTTAAATCCGAATAATGGTGGAGGCAGGGGGTTCGACGATGATTTCGGTAGGAGGAATAGAGTCGAGGGAGACATTAGGGGTTTGTTGCAAGCTTTGGATATACAAGCGAGTCAAATGTGTACGAGTAATGTAGCGGCTCAATGGAATTTCGAGACTAATATTAATCAAGCGACTCAACTGGATGCTGTAAGTATTTTATTGTTAATTAATAATTAATTATTATAATAATAACGTAGTGTATTCAGATCAGAGATATAAATAGTCGCAATTAAATAATATAATATAAAGTAACGCATAAATTAATTATTAGCTAAATAAACAATCTTATAATTACCATATTTTTTAAACAGATCACCCCATTTTTCAATTCCCGGATTTCTCTTGCTTAGACGATTTCAAAAATGTATTACTTGTTGCTTGAAATTGGTACAGGGTGGACAAAAATTAAATATAAATAAATAATACTATTGAACATTCCGGAAACACGTCGATTTTGTAATTTACTGTTTTTTTTAAATAATCTAATATAGAGGGTGAACTACCTTCGTGTAATGACGTAATCACCATAAGAAATAAACAATAAAGGTAATTTAATTAAATGAATTTACATATTGTTATACTTACTACTTTGATAAACTATCAAAAAAAGTCGTATATTTTTACTTTTTTGTCTGTATACAGATAAGGAAAGTAGAGGAATCATGATTTTTTCGACCTCGAGTTTTAGACGGATTTTTAGGTTTTGGGGTCCCCTGAATCCATTTTGTCTATTTTTGCGATAATGTCTGTCAGTTTGTCTGTGTCTGTTATGTCTGTATACTCGATAACTCATGAACGGACGAAGAGAAAAAACCAAAATGTATACTTAAACTTTAATTCATCTTGGGGTGATCTGAATAGATTTTGAGCATAGTCGGAACATCTGGAAGGGTCTTTTATAGTGGGTTGTTTTTCTACTTTATGGAATATACCTGTTATTTAACTTGAAAAAGAAAATTCTTCCAATAAAAGTTGCTTGTTATAATATTCTCCATAATTTTTGTTGTATACATACATTTCCAAAATGGTTAATTTTCGAGAAATTTGACAAAGTTTGCGAAATTCAAAAAAAATTGTTTCGATAAAAGTTGTTTGTGATGCCATTCTCTATAATTTTTATATTATATATAATATTTGATATATATTTGAGATATTTGAGAAAAAAAGAAATTTCGAATTTTGAAGGTAGCTCAAAAACGAATAAAGAAAAAACACAAAATTTAAAATTTAAGCTTTGATCCATCCTGCGGTGATCTGATTAAATTTTTGGCACAGTCGGAACATCTTTACAGGGGAGAAGAAATTTCTACAAATAAAAGTGTCTTGTAATTTTATTTTCTATAATTTTTGACCTATACATAATTTTCCTAAAATGGTCCGTATTCGAGAAATTTGACAAAAAGTGCAAAATTCGATTTTTCAAGAAAATTTTTCAAATAAAAGTTGTTAATTTTTGTCCTACAATAGAAAAATTCGGCAATATAAAAAATGTTTCTAGTAAGATATGTGTGGAAAATGTATGTATTTATTTTATCCTCTAAACATTTATGGGGGTGATACAATAGGTTGTACAAAATAATCTGAAAAAGCTTGTAATAACTAGGCAGAAAAGTCATGTTGGACACCCTACTTAAGTAAGATCGACTTTCGTAGACTCCCCTTTACACCTCAAATGCCCCCAATTCTTTTTTCCGTTCACATGGATCCCTTGTAGGTCATCGTCGACCTCTGAGAGTTGATCTAGACCAATTTGGGTATCATCGGTAAACATGATGTCCCTAAAATGGATAATATTGAAGATAATTGAAGACAAGTATAAATTATTTTTTTTTGTAAACACGATATAGTTCAAACTATTTGATTTCGATGGTCTTTAGAATATAGGATTTTTAGGGGCCATAAAGATCTGATTAGATTTTGGGCATAGTCGGAACAACTAGGAGAGTACTTTATTAGTGGTCGTTCCAGTATTTTTTGGTATATTTCTGTTATGTGTGTTTGGAGAACATTTTTTTGATAAAAATTTTTCGCGATTTCATTATCTATAATTTTTGTTACATACATGGACCGTATTGGAGATATTAGAAGAATGGTACAAAATTCAATTTTTGTGAACACGGTACAGCCCAAATTATTCGGTCGTTATAGATGGTTTTTAGAACATATGTTTTCCAGGGGCACATAGGAGCAACTGGGGCGGTACTTTATGGGTGGTCGCTTCTGTACTTTTTCGTATATATCTGTTATTTGTGATTAAAGAAGAAAATTCTTTGAAAAAAAGTTTCGCTATGTCATTATCTATATTTTTTGTTATATACATGATATACCTAAAATGGACCGTATTGGAGATATTTAAAGAAAAGTACAAAATTAATTTTTTTTGTGAATACGGTACCGCCCAAATTATTCAGTCGATTTCGATGGTTTTTAGAACATAGATTTTCGAGAGAGGCACATGAAGAGATCCGATTTTGGCCATAGTCGTAACAGCTGGGAGGGTACTTTATTGGTGGTCGTTTTTAAACTTTTTGGTAAATTTCTGGAGAAAAAAATTCTTCGGTTATTATGTATAATTGTTATTATATATAAAATGGATCGGACTGGAGAAATTTGATGAACATTACACAATTCATTTTTTTTTGTTTTGATAACAGATATAAATGCGAAAATATAATAAAATTTGGAATTTTAAACTATTGTTTTAAAATTTTACTTTACTTTTTGGATATTTTTAATAAAATAAAGGTTTCAATACAATACAATATTCCTCTTTTTCTATTACTCTTTTTGAATTTGTAAACACTTCCTAGCTTTTGTTTTAGAGTAGAAAAAGGTTAAAAGAATGGAATATTTCTCAATTTAATACCATTTTTACCATTTTATTATCATTTTATCACCATTTTATTACCATTTTATTACCATATTATTACCATTTTATAACCATTTTATTAAAATTTTATTACCATTTTATTACCATTTTATTACCATTTTATTACCATTTTATTACCATTTTATTACCATTTTATTACCATTTTATTACCATTTTATTACCATTTTATTACAATTTTATTACCTTTTTATTACCATTTTATTACCATTATATTACTATTTTATTACCATTTTATTACCATTTTATTACCATTTTATTACCATTTTATTACCATTTAATTAACATTGTATTACCATTTTATTATCATTTTATTACCATTTTATTACAATTTTATTCTAATTCCAGTGTATTTTGTAGTAACTAAATCCAAATACTTTTATAATTACTTACAATATATTTATGAAATTTATATTTTTACTAAATATAAATATATCTAATTATTGACTTTAATCCGAGATTAGTCAAATATCATTTATTGTGGATCAATATATTAGAGATTTTAACACAAGCGAAATAGATACCATTACTTTAAATACATGTTATGAATGTAACGAAGTTCTTAAAATTAACAGCGATAATTTAAATTTCAAAATATTTCATAATAATATAAGAAGTGCATTCAAAAATATTGATCAACTATTATGCTATACAGGGTGTTTCCGAACTTGGCGTCCAAATTTGTAGGGGTGGTAGTTCGCATAATTTGAGAGCGATTGGCAGATTTCATTTTTTCTAAAAAAATTATAATAAACAAAATAGAGCCATTATAAAAAAAAATCAAAGAGCAGGTCCTACCCTGAGCGCGTAGCGCAATAGTCCTCAAAAACAGATGTGATATCGATTCTAAAGGTAGTGCGCACGAGTCGAGTCGTCCAATTGCTGTGCAGGACCGTACCTGTTTCTAATTTTTAATTATTTTTATTTCAAATATTTTGGAAAAATGAAATATGCGAATCGGTCTCAAATTATGCGAACTACCACCCCTACAAATTTGGACACTAACTGAAACTCCTGAATGTATAATACTTACAGAAACATGGCAAATAGAAGATATCGATTTAATAAATATAGACGGTTATAATGTTATTTACAATTATGGAACCATTACTAAAAATGATGACACCTTAGTTTTTGTAAAGTCACATCAAATACTCATGTGAAATTGTTTCTCTCGAAAATGACAATAAATTGATTCTGACAGAAGTTAACTATCACAAAAAGATAATTAAAATTCTCGCTGGCTATAGATCGCCACCTACCACTCCCAATGAATTTATAACTCTTTTAAGAAATTATTTTATGAGCCAAAATTTTGATAAGGATGACTATTTTGTATTAGTTGGAGATATAAAAATGAACATCTTAGAAGAGCGCATGGAAGAAGATACTCTGGAATATTTAAGCACTTTATTATAAATGATCTGAAGAACAAAAAAATCCCCATGTGAGGATGGTTTTACCGGGGAAGTCATCAGATGTATAGCATCATTTATATCGATTCCTTTTTCATATTTAATAAATAGTTGTATCGAAAGTGGGTACTTTCCTACTGCGTTTAAGACGTCTGTTGTAACTCCTATCTTTAAATCAAGCGATTCTTCAAATGCCATTAATTATAGCCCAATTTCCCTAATAACCACTTTTGCTAAGATATTTGAAAAATTTTTAAAAGACCGACTCTGTTTGTACTTTGATAAAAATAACACACTCGCCTCAAAACAATACGGATTCCGCACAGGCATATCAACACAGGATGCAATACTTCATCTAACCTCAAATATGTACTCGGCTATGGATAGGAATAACAAAGCATTGTGTGTCTTTATTGATCTGTCCAAGGCTTTTGACACGGTCAGTCATACCTTATTGATGAATTCTCTGGAAGAAGTTGGTGTTAGAGGTGACCCACTAAACCTTTTCAAAACTTACCTTACTAATCGTTAACAGTTTGTCCAAATCGATAATCAGCGGAGTGAAGTCCAACAAATAACCTTTGTAATGCCACAAGGATCAGTTCTCGGTCCGGTAGTTTTCAATATTTATTTAAATAATTTAATTTCTTTGGAAAGTGAAGGGGATATTACTGCATACGCTGATGACACTTGCATTTTCTATGAAGCCAGGAACTGAGAAGATCTCAAAAAGAAAGCTGTAAAAGATCTTCAAAATATTAACAAATGGTTTATTTATAATCTACTTACCGTTAACTTCTCCAAAACTGCATTTTTGCCCATCCATGTTGATGTTAGAAGAGCTC